GGGGGGGTAATTACAGAGATCACATGATCCTTATGCAGAAGCCTTGTAGGTCATTGGGCCGTTCTGGGCAACTTATGTCCTCTGGTTGGGTCGGCACCACAAACTCCAAGGTGCCATGTCAACACACCAAATAGTGGAGGTGCTGGTGCCATCCCAACCGCTGGCTTAAAGTCGTTCCATTGGCTTGCGATATGATAGGCCTGGCTACGAACAGGGTATAATTATGCACCTTTTGATAAGTGCCTTATGGTGTGGTGTATCTGTTACTGTAGAACTCTACCTACAACCTAGTGCAGCTCATTAAGTCACCAGCGTAATATGTGTCAGGAAGATGCAGTCTATGGGCTACAAATGTATAAAGACTTCTACGAATATTTATATATATATATATATCTTCAATCCAAAAACAGACTTTGTTCAGGATAAGCCCTTCAGAGACAATCAGCGTGCCAAAATACTTTCTTTTTTATATATATATCAAATGCACAAAACATATTTAAATGACTTGATTTTAATGACAAGCTGCAATGTGGAGTAAAGGGAATCGTGTCCCCCGTGTGACACCGGCCATCGCCTTATTATGCTGTATTACAGAAGATTTAAAAAAACAAACATATTTAGACATTTTTATAAAACCAAAAATCTTGACTACCTTTAACGAGCTGCTATTCGCTGATTGCATTGCGCCTTTTAATCTCTTCTTGTGTATATTTGGCTTTTAAACTTTTTTTGGCAGATTTAAGTGGACCCGGTCGAATGTGAATCAGTAAACAAATCGCAGTTTTTGTAAGCTTTGAACATTTCTTTTTTTTTGATCATATTCTTTCCATTTATTATTTTTATTATTATTTTTTATTTTTTTCTGGTTTAAACAAAAAAAAATTATTTAAAAAAAAAAAGAAATGTTTATTCATTTTATTTGTTATTAATTATAATTTTGAAACACAATGTCATATGTTTTTGGTTTTTATTTTCAATATAAATAAAGAATATACACTGTAAA